TTCATGCTTTACCCAAACAAATTCTTAAAATAATCATTGTGTTTCGTTGGTGTCATCAATCTTATGTCCCTACCACACCCAGCAGTCGGGACATGTGAAATATAAAAAAACAGGAACTTGCACATTGTCAGCTCTGCAAAGATTTATATAGTAAGCAGAGCATAGCACATTCAGCTTAAGAAAAAAATTCAGTGCAGGCCTATATTCATGGTTCACATATGTGTAATTGCTCTTCATAATGAAGTGAAAACTGCTTAAGTTGCGGCCCACTACAGGCTTTCTATTAGTGTTAAAAAGTGTGGTAGAAAACAAGATTGCGCTTGGAAGACGGGGACATAGGAAGGACAGACACAACAGAGCGCTAACATTCAACTGATTTAATTCCAGAACCTCAGCGTAGAAACGGACTTTGTCACCACACCACATCTCAACCAATCCGTTCTGCCACGGACCGCAAGTACGCCAACTCCTTATCCGCCAAGTCAATTGACGCCATACTGACACAACTTGTGCTGGAACTATTTATAGTGTCAGCCTCCATAATCTCGCTAACAGTCCTATCTTTGTGCCTCTCAAGAGCAGTAGACGAAGCAAATAATTGTTTGCACCCGCAGTCATGACAGTGACATGACAGATCATCACTGCGAGTGCAAACCATTATTTGCTTTGTCTACTGTTCTTGCTAGGCACAAAGATATGACTGTTAGAGAGATTATGGAGGCTGATGCTATAAATAGTTCTGGCACGTGTTGTGTCAGTGTGGCGTCAATTGACTTGGCGAATAAGGAGTTGGCGTACTTGCGGTCCGTGGCAGGGCCACGGATTGGTTGAGATGTGGTGCGGTGACGCAGTGTGTTTTTACGCTGAGGTTCTTGAATTAAATCAGTTGAAAGTTAGCACTCGGTGGTGTCTGTCCTTCCTATGTCCCCGTCTTCAAAGCGCAATTATGTTTTCTAACGTACCGTACCAACTTGCCCAACAATCAGCACTTGTTAAAAAGTGCTATTGTGTTTTAAGCAGCTCACACCAAATATTTTCTTGAAATACATAGGTTCATCAAAATTATTATGTAGATGTTGGCAGACAGTCATGGCGAGGCCAATCTTTAATGCCAAGGGGTCCACTTATTCAGAGTTAATTGAGTTTGTAAATATTGTAGGTCGCAAATTAAATTTTTATGGTATGCAATGGGCACAATCATCCGTAATGACTAGCTCTACCTAGGGGAACTTCATATGTTTAGTACGGCAAGATGGTTTCGAAAAACAAAGTATTTAGTTTATTCAACTCCTGCACTAACCTTGTCTTTAGAAACTTTTTATATTCTTTGCGATGCTGAGATAAGATTCTGGAAATAGTTTTTCTAGAACTACTCTAGATATTTCCAGTTCATCATTTTTCTCGCAAAGCATTCGAAAGAGCCAAACCCTGTAATGTACGGAAGGAATTCACAGAATGATGCGACTGACAGTTTGGAACATTCGGCACTGTAACAGTAATAATGACATGTCACTTATGTAATGCTCATTATCGCAGATCAAACTGCTTTTTCCGTCTACACTCATTTTCAGTAGACTCATCCAGCGAACTCCCACCTGAGACTGCAGCGCTGGGTTCTGCAAAGTAATTTGAATGAATAATGATGCAACAGGTTTCTTTGAGCGTGCGTCTAACACATATTCTTTATATTGAATCGGCTAACTGTATTCATGACCATGTCCATAATTGTATCCACATTCCAGCTTATTTTTATTTTGACATTTGAGCTTTCCTCAGTACTTTTCTCAACATCTGTGCTTGTTGAACCGTACTCAAGTCCATACATCTTGTCTTTCGCTTTTACATTAATATATAGAACTGTTGATGCCGAGTGAGAATTCAAGGTACCGAATCTGTCGTGCGAGCTAAATAAGAACCAATAAAAAGCTATACAAAGGAAATTTTGTTAAAGGAGGCTGTATGGGCATTAGAATAGCACATGCCATGCTAAAAAAAAAAAAAAGATACAAATTCTTGTTAGGTATGCAAGGATGACAGTGTTGTGCTGTTTCTGATGTGTCACAAAAAACAAAAAAAAAATCAGTGCCATACAGTGTTCCTTATGGAAGTACAAACTGTTGAATTCGAAGCCCAGAAATTTTATTCAAGAATGTTCCTCAATACAAATGCATTTTGAGATCTGAGCCACTGACTGATACATGACTATCTGGCAAACATTCATTTTCATGTGCATTATAGATTACTAGATCTAGTCTGCATTGATTTATTGCATTCATGCTGAAACTGGGAGGGGTTCTCTGGGTATGAATAAAGAGATAAACATTTCTTGATATCAAAACATTTGAGAACGGACAAAAGGAAGGATCTGAGAACGGTATCTTAGATTCTCTTCTTTTTCTTACAATATATCTAATGTTCACTTTATTTCACCTGATGCATTTAGTTTTTAGCGCAGCTGTTAGCACCCGTTTCCGCGTTTCGCGGCGTCGCTGTCGGCGTAACCGCCCAACTAAACTTGGCAGGAAATTGAATTAATGTTGTGGTCATGTGACGTTAATATTTCCGCTAAGTCTAGCTGAGAAACTGAATTTTTTTATGGATGACGTGACACGGTCATGCGACGTCATTTTCCCCGCTACTTTTAGCGGAAAAACTGCATTTGTGTTGAGGTCATGTGACATCAATTTCCGCGCTAAATTTAGTGCGAAACTTAACCCGCTGAATTTAGTGGGGAAATTTTCCCGCTAAATTCAAGGAAATTTCCCCCTAAATGGGAGGGAGCAGAAGAGGAGGAGGGGATGGGGAAGGAGGGGCATACCCTCCCATCTTCCTCTTCGAGAGCTGTACTGTATTTTCTCATTACAGAGAATTGTAAACGTCTCATATTTCATCTCATGTTTTTTCAACTTTTATATTGCAGGTGCGCTTGCAGCACAAATCTGGGTTGTGCTGATCCTCTACGCACAAGTTAGGAACTCCTGAGTGACAAGAGTGGGAGTTTGGTCTGACAGATCAAGGGACACCATTGTTCAGTATTGAATTTTTAATTATCTTCTTTTGAGCAAAGTTAAGCTTTGCTGCATGCAGTTCTTCTAAAAATAAATACCTGCAACCAAATTTACCAGGTCACGACATTTTGCCTCTGCTCTTAGTGCTCCTGGTGAGCCTCGGATAAGAGCTTACTGGTGTGCAAACATCATAATTGTTTGAAACCACTCATTGATGTAGAGACTCATTGACATCCAGCATTCCAATGAAACGCTGGATATCCACAAGTCTTTCTTGAACAATGCAAGTGGGAAAGGAACCATACAATCATATTGTATTGGGGGACATTCTACAGAGTGTTTTTTTGTATATTTTACAGATTTTTTTTAAAAAAGCCGTAAAAGCTACATTTACGCAGTCTGTACACGTGAGTTATATGGCCAGGGCGGCATAGTATAAAAGGCGAATTTGTAATGATCAGTCGGCTTATTACAGAGATGTGCCAGACTTCTTTCAGAAAACTAGATGGAGGTTCATTCTCGCATGGTTTTATCCCGTTGGTTTTCCACAAAGATATAACTAAACGTGAGAAAACACAAAAAAAAACATCCTACCAATAGTGACATCGTAAGAAGACCTTTCAGCCGCCAAGTGTGTCTCGCTTAAGGGCCGCGCGTCCAGTCGCAAGTTTTCTAGGTATATTCTCCCGCATTGGCACCAGTCGTGACACATTTTTCTGCCCCTTTAAAAAATAGCATGTGCGTGCATAGCTTTCATAGGCGCTGAAGATGCGTGAACAAAGATTTTGAAAGCTGCTCTTGTGACGTCGCTCTCTAGGGAAGTGCTTTCAAAGCGCTTTAAAAATGACTCTATGCAGCCTCGAATAATTAAATTAGCAAATAATTTTGATATTTGAGATTCTGGAGGTCAAATGAAGAAGATTTAAAAGTGTTTTCTCAAATACAAAACCGCTTCAGCCTCTCTCTTAAGTATAGTATGTTCCTGAAATTTTTAATCAGTGAAAATAGACCCATGGTTCCAATTAGAAACTTCTAAGCATCATCAAAACACACTAAATCAATTTTCTTTGTGAAGATATAAGACAAGAGCAGCATTTTATGGTGTTCTAAAAAAATGGACAATTTGGACGCGTTTCCAGACTTCGGTTTCTTACCAGAGCGCATCTTTGCACCTACGGTCCTGCTGCCCGGTGGCCGCAGTGCGAAGCCGCCCCCTCGCCTCCCTCGTAGGATGGAGGGAAGCAAGGTGCACGTGTGTTGCGCGTCTAAGCCCCTGGGGAACAGGACTGTGGGCGCAAAGATGAGCTCTGATAAGAAACTGAAACCTAGAAACTCGTCCAAATAAAGCATTTTTACAGAACGCGTAAAATGCTACCCCTGCATTATATCCTTCTAAAAAGAGTTGATTTTGTGGTTTTCAGTGACTCAGCAAGTTTCCAATAGAAACCATAGTTTCATTTTCACTAATTAAAAAGTTAATTAACAAATTGTATTTAATTATCTGACTGATCGTTACGACTAGGTCCCTATACTACGTACGCCTGGCCATATAACTCGCCTGCACAAATCGCATTAATTTAGCTTTCACGACCTTTCTAAACATATATGTAAAGCTTAAAACTAAATTGCCGTGTACAACAGTGAAAAGGCGAAACCACCATGTTGGAGCCGTATGGCTCCAACATGCCGGTATCGCCTTTTCGCTGGTATAGGATGTCCCATATTACGTTATCCATGTATGGTTCCGTCCGCCTACATGGTTCCGCCATAATCCACTACGCCGGTATAGGATGTCCCATAATACGACACGCTTGTATGGTTCCGCCTACCTGTATCTTTCCGCCGTAATCCACTATACTGGAGCTGCCTTTTCGCTTGTAAAGGATGTCCCATATTACGGTTATGCTTGTATGAGCCTTTTCCATCATCTTTCCATCATCGATATTTTCCAACAGGGTAGTCGTCGACTACTTTAAGCGGATCGAATTTCAGCACCGCGGGTCGGCACACGCGCACATTCTCCTTTGGCTTCATAACGCGCCCAACGAGGAGCTCTCGATGCTCATGCCCCAGACTCTTGAAATAGCCAACGTTCTGCTTTCCATCGACAACGGATGCTTGAAGCGGGAGCGGACTCAGGTGCACCAACACACGCATACCTGCTACAAGCACAACACCACCAGATGCCGCTTTAACGCGCCTTTTATGCCCATCGATGAATGTATGGTCGTAGTGCCTTTCCCCACTGTGGACAATGAAGCGCAGAAGAAGAAAATCGAGAGCCTCCTAAACAAGTACGAGGCCATGCATCAGGCCCTGGAAACGACAAATTATGACTCCATGGAGCAGTTTTGGGAACATCACGGTGTCGCGGACAAGGCGGAGTACATTTCTGTTCTCCGAGCAGGCACTCCTCGTGCCACCATCATGCTACCCCGTACTGTGCAGCAAAAGTGGGTGAATTACTTTAACCCATGGGTTGCATCAATCCTCGATTCTAACATGGATCTTCAGATCGTCCTCGACACGTACGCGTGTGCTGCCTACGTGGTGGAATATGTAAACAAGGCCAACCGAGGTATGTCGAACCTCAATCGAGCAGTGCAAGAAATTGTCAAGGAGAAGGGGGATATGGCCTATTCTCAGGCACTGAGACATCTAGGTGTGAAAATGTTGAAGTCCATTGAACTGTCCGCACAGGAGGCCGCATGGTGTTTGCTCAACCAGGATATGTCGGAGGCGAGTCGCAAAGTTGTCTTCGTGAACTCTGCATGGCCCGAGGAAAGGACGCGCATTCGGAAGTCTAACGCTCAGATGGCGCAGGAAGGCTTAGTAGAATCAAGCACTGATGTATGGAAACGGATGATGATCGAGCGCTACGAAGACCGCATTCCCGAATTGGAACCTGTTACTCTAGCAGAGTTCGCTACCGAGTACAACATATATACCTACAAAAAGAGGAATCAGCGACGGATACTTCGCTACCGCGGTTACTCCGTAGACGATTCAGTCAACTTCAAGCGAGAACATGTCCTGCTTTTCTATCCATTCCGCAAAGAAGTTGACATCTTAGACCAAAACTGTTTCGAGCGTCTGTATGACCAAAACATCGACGTCATTCTAGAGAACGAGGCACGGTACCACAGTGACGTAGACATTGAGCAAATTCGTGCCGTTTGTAATTCCATGCTCCAGTCAAATGACGGGGAACATTGTGCCACTTCTGAGCTCCCAGATGTGAGACTGCACCCGATGGCCATGGAAAACGACGACTCCGATCTCCTAGACATCGGTATGGTCCGATCCAATGCCCCGTTTAAGCAGTGCCCCGCCGTGTGCACGCGCCAAGACGTCATGAGCAGAGATCAATACCTGGACACAATGCGCAAGACGAATGAGGAGCAGTACGAGATCGTCCGAGAAGTCGTGCATAGACTCACTATACCGGACTCTCCGCCACTACAAATCTTCTTCACGGGAGTGGCTGGATGTGGGAAGACATTTGTACTGCGTCTCATCATGGACGTCTACAACAGATATTGCAACCCTGCTGGTTCAGATAATGTAAACGCCTATGTTGCCTGTGCTACAACTGGAAAAGCGGCGGTCGCGCTTGGTGGAATAACTGTACATGCAGCGTTCAGACTTACCATCAATAGGGATGGCGGACTCCGGGACAACGAGTTGAACACGTTCCGCTATGCGTTCAGGAACGTCAGGTGCGTGATTATCGATGAGGTTAGCATGATGTCCGCCGACATCCTTCAGAAAGTGGACTCGCGACTCCGCATCATCACTTGCAAATATCTAGAGCCTTTCGGCGGGTTAGACATCATCCTCTGCGGAGACCTGCGCCAGCTTCCCCCCGTTCGTGCCGCCGAGGTTTTCAAGCGCGTCAAGACGAACAGTGTGTTTAACACGGAAATCGCATGGCACCATTTGTCATACTTTGTCCTCACGAAGGTCGTAAGGCAAAGCGATCTCAGGTTTTCCACCATACTTACCAAAATTAGAGACGGTGCAGAATTGGATTCCGAAGAAATCGCATTGATCCAGAGTCGGTTCGTCACGCAACAACAAGCAGAAACGTGTTGTCCCGGTGGCATCCGCTTGTACTACTCCAACAAGGAATCGGACTACTACAATACGAACACGGCCATTGCAACCGAAGATAATTGTGTGGCATGTCCGGCACGGGACACAATCGTTGGATTCAGGTCTATGCAGGAGAAGACAGAGGCAATGCGCAAGGCCGAAACGCTGCCCAAGGCCGAACTCGGAAACCTGCCAGCTAATATAATGCTATGCATTGGAAAACCATATATGCTCACACTCAATGTCGATGTTTCCGATGGTCTGGTCAATGGCTCTGTTGGAATACTGCAGTACATACAATACGATACGCTCCGAGAGCCGGAACGCATCTGGCTGCATTTCGGTGAGCTTGGTTCCAAAATTGCGATTGGAACCGTGGCGGCCGCAAAATCCCGGCAGTTACGGGCACTTGACAGAAATATTCAGCAAAATTGGACACCTATCGAAAGACGCACAGTCACTTGCGTCATTGATAAGAAGTCAAGGATATCCCTGAGGAGATGCCAGCTACCCGTTGTGCAAGCAAGTGCTATCACCATTCACAAATCACAGGGAGGCACGTATGAAAACGTGGTGTACTCGAATGCCAAAAGTCATCCACAGAAATTGGTATACGTGGCACTGAGTCGTGCTACAGACATCAACGGGCTCTACCTCACCAATGCGGACAATGACTTTACGTTCTACCACGGCAAGCCCAATCCCGACAGGGTACTACTTGATGAGTTTCGTCGACTGCAGTCACACAAACTCCAAACTGTCACTGCTAAGTGCTACGCAATGATTAAGCAACCGCACTTGTTCTCGGTCGCCGCACTTAATGTTCGCTCTCTGCCGGCGCATTCCAAGGACGTGCACCACGACCCCGTCCTACGCCATGCATCTGTACTTTGCTTCTCGGAAACGTGGATGGATCCAAAACAGGCGGTAGAAATCATGGACTACCAGTACTGCTGCGGCGTCAGTAGAGAGCACAACAGAGCGGCAGGGGTGGCCATCTACGTGCGTAAGGGTCTGTCTGCCGTACCCATCGAGATATTTGGAACGTCAGACGAAGTTGGAGAACTTTGTGGCGCCAAGTTCGACAACGGCTTGGTAGTGGTGGCTCTGTATATCTCGCCTACAGCACTCACCAAAGATATCGTGCATTTTCTGCGACTTGCGTTAAGCACACGTGGGTCCACACCCATGTTAGTAGTGGGGGACTTTAATGCAGACTTAAAGAAGGATAAGAACTTCATACCACTTATGCAGGAAAACTTCCCATTTCTCTCCCTCGTAACAGCTCACACCGCTGTGACGACCTCTCGAAACACGTGCATAGACCTCGTCTTTCAAAATCAGCCTTTGGTCCATCACCTGGAACACATATCCTGCCACTTCTCAGATCACAAGGCTTCCTTCATAACAATCAAGGACTGGGATAAGAGTGCTATTTAAAGCACCAGTATAGGAGGAGCTTGCTCTATATTTGTATATATTGTGGGGATTTTGGACGCCGAACTTTGGCGACGATATGCACTCCACGCTAGGAAGAAAGGAGGAGGAGAAGAACGAAAGCTGGGAAATTGTTCCCTCCGACGGTCTTGCGTACCTTGAGAGGTGTTAGGCGGGCCACTCGGAGGAGCATCTACCAGCTTCGTTATCAGTTGGAGCGTGCCAGTCGTACAAGACGAAGAGGAGGAGGAAAACGGTGAGGTTGAGGAGGAGGAAGAGAGGAGATGCCAGATACGTGTTGTGCAAGCAAGTGGTCTCATCAATCGTAAATCACATTGGAGCTTCCAGATCTGACAAGTATATTCCCTTTCTCCGTACAAGCGGTGAGCAAAAATACCACAATATATTACATAGTTCAGTGCGGTATATCGCAAAATTGAGATACCTCAAAAGAGGAGGAGGAGCACAGGAGGAGGAGAAGGGGACGACGAGAGAGTACGGATGAGGAGGAGGGGCATACCCTCCCCTCCGTTCCCTCTCGCCCCCGCCCCCCCCCCCCCCCCCCTTGCTTGGAGCACATTTGGAACTTAGGGAATGTCATAGCTCGGGGCCTCTTCCTTCCTTTGCTACTGGAACTACACACTCTAAGTATCTAGAGCTTGAATATTTTTCATTCGAATTTAACATGGCCGACAGCATTGTTAAGACGTTCGACGAAAACATTGTAAACGTCATTAACACAGTTCAGACCGGCTTCCCTACATTTATTATAGGTGTGTTCCAAGCATGTGACGACTTTCATGACCCTGTTTCATCATCAAGTATTGAAGTTCATCTTGCGTCAGATCTAAACAAATCACAACACCATGTTTGGGGTAAGTCCCTTATCAAGTTTAAGATGGTGTGCCTGCCTGTAGCTTCTCTAAAGTGTCTTTTTTTACGCTTGTTTCACTTATTATAAGTGTTTTCTTTTTTATATTATACTCGGCCGAGTGCCCATCTTCCAGTGTCCATCACACTTTTAGTCTGGTGATCACGTCACCTCGAAACCCTCGTAAGCTTAGAACTGAAAAGTTTTGCTGCTTACGCACAGCAGACAAAAAAAGGTAGGCAGCATTTTAACTTCCAACTGTCTAAGCGTGGATGTCAAGCATAAACCCTGGGAAGATTTGCCCACTGCTTAACTACATGCTTTTTTTTTCATGTCCTGGTTGGCTGCTACACTGGAGAGGCTGCTGAACATCATGCCACGGCGGCTGATCATGGCGGTTTAGTTAAATTAATAATGGGGTTTTCATCCAGGACGTAAATTGGAAACTCGCGGAGCAAACTTTAAGGTACATTGGTATAACAATTGCGTACGTTGGCTTTGTACGTTATTAGCGTAAACCTTGGCCGGATATGCAACGCAGTTTCCAATATACACCACGGTTTTTCCCCAATCAATAAAATTTCACCCCTCCAAATTATTTGTCCTGACTCTATATTTCAGAGCACAGCTCTTACGCGACCCTTTCCGGCTTGAGCGGCAAGGAGGAAAGCAGTACGAAGGTGGAGGACGGGGGGAGGAGAGACGAGGAGGCGGAGGCGAGGGGAGGGGAGGACCTTAAGGACGAGGAGGTGGTAAAGGAGAGGGAGGGGGAGCAGGAGGGGAGGAGGACTAGCAGGCATGATCACGAGGGAGGAGGAGGAATATACCCTCCACTCCTCCTCCTCAAGAGCTGCGCTCCAATTCGGCGTTACAGGAAGTTGTAAACGGCTTTCACTTTTTTGAACACGTATTCGGTGTGCTTTATTAGTGATGTCCGAGATACAGCCGTCTTTTCAGTTGGTCCTAAAGGCCGACCTGCAGAATCACTTTTACCGTGAAGAACACCGGTCACCATTTTCCCACTCTCCTTTCTCTCTCACCCTCTTCTCTCCTCCTCTCCCCTCAAGAGATGGTCTCGGAGCTATTCCCTCCAGAAAGGTCCCATGTAGGGCATCACACAGGATTGGGGCCGGCGAATTCCCGGTCTGCCGGTATGGTCTCATCGGTCCGGGATCGTTTCATCTACACACCTTACGACGTTTCGTCGAAAGTTTCTTACCGTGCATGTCGCCTCTGTCGCCGGCATCCGGATGTGCGGAACATTTGGTGGTTCTGATTATGCCTTTTGCAAACTGGGGCTTAAAAATATATTAAAGTTTCGCCTTGCGGATATTACAAATATTCCACGCCATGCAGAGTGTTTGGATTTTAAGGATTAGAGCTCGCGAATTTGTGTTTGCCCTATCGGAGCTGCCTGTGTGAGTCCGCCTTAGTTCCGCTTTTCCTCCAGCGAAATTCGGCCACGGGGAGCAAGGCCGCCGGTATACAATGATGTAGAAAATCTACAGGGTGATTCAAGGCAAGGCCAGGCTCTTTAAATCGACGGCAAAATTCGGTTTCGTAACCTATCGCGCTACGATTGTGTGCAGCGTTGCCCACAGATGATTTTTTTTTAATGTAAAATTCGCAAAGAGCAAACTTACCTGAGGAAAAAGTAAAAAAAAAAAAAGGCTTATCTCCTATGGAAACGCAGCGAAGCCACCGGTCTTCAAACAACACGGCGCTGTTTCGCACAGGAGACAAGAGATGGCGCAAGCGGTCGCGACGCCAACTGCCACCGACGAACGAGCATACGCCGCCGAGAGCCGGCGTCTTTATCAGACAAGGAACTACAGTTCCTTCTTGTTACCGCGCCTGTTTTTGTTTCTGCAACTGTCGCTGCCTGCGGAACGCGCGCCGCTTTTGAGTCGAAAAGATTGTCTGCTAAAGACGCCGGCTCTCGGCGCCGTATGCTCGTTCGTTGGCGGCGTTCGTTGCGCCATCTCTTGTCTCCCGTGCGAAACAGCGCCGTTTTGTTTGAAGACTGGTTGCGTCGCTGCGTTTCCATAGGAGCTAAGCCTTTTTCTTTCTTGACTTTTTCCTCAGGTTAGTTCTCTCTTTGCAAATTTTACAAAAAAAAAAAAAAAAATGCACCGTCGGTGGACAACGCTGCACAAAGTCGTAGCGCGATAGGTTAAGAAACCGAATTTCGCGGTCGATTTAAACAGCCTGGCCTCTGCTTGAGTCAACCTGTAGGTTAAGAAAGGATGCAAGAGAAACAATGGAGAGCATTTGTAATTTAATGGTGGAGGAATCCTGGGAATATTGTTCGCAAGTACACATGCGTTGCGTTATCTCTCGACCAAGAAAAACAGGAGAGGAGGAAACAGTTGCAGACGATGAATGCTTTTATAACCCAGATGGTAATATTACTAATGCGGCCCGAAACACGGGATCGCGATCGAGCAGCTGGAAACACTTTGAATTATTTGCACACTACAGCTATGTATTCGGATGGACACCTAAACAGAAAGACTTCTAACAACTAAATGTTGCTGTTTTTTTATTTACTTTTCAGCACCGCAAAACATTATTTCTGCAGTCTATCTTTGTATACTTCCCTGATTCCGATTTTATGGATGATGTCCACAGAGTGTTTAATTGAAACCATATTTTACATTTATCAACTAAAATGTACTTGCATTGAATCAATAAATAACCAGATTATGCCGAACGTTCATATTTGTCCGAACTAGACCGCTTTCAACATACTTCCTTCTCTTGGCAGCTTTTAAATCCCTGCACAATGGTGGACTAAAACTTCAACGTCACTGCACACTGAGAAACAAGCACTCACAAAAAAAGGTGATGAGCGCAGTGACGTTGCACTTTCGACGCTGTTTCATTGGATCGTCGGCTTGTAGTGTTGGCCGCGCGCCTACGTTCGCTCTCCTAAGGAATGAATTGCACGTTCTTCGACGCAGTTATTCCTTCATTGTGCAGGGGTTCCGACCTTTTCAAAATCGGTTCGTGACTTTCGGAAGGTGTCTATAGTTCCTTTAGCAAATATCGATTGGACATCAACACTTTTTTGCCCAACGCGTACTTTTCGCGGGAACTATTTTGCTGGCGCTGTGTGAAACACCTAGCTTAACTACAGCAAAGACGTGGATACTATATATACTACGTTTCAATTAACGTTCTACCACGGCTGACGCTATAATTCGATCCAGTCAATAATGAAGCACCAAAAGCGCATTGTCATGGCGCTCATTGTATTTGTGCGTTTGCTATCCTCGATTAAACCAATCACGCACGGTGAGTGTGCATCGGTCATGCGCTTCTTTTTGTGAGTCACTTGCTTGGCCTATGATAGAAAAGCCAGAACGACAACTAGCGCCTAGACCGGTGGTTCTCGAATGCGGGTCTGCGGACTCTTTGGGGTCCGCGAAGACATTCTTGGGATCCGCGAAGCCCTGCCTCGTCAGTGAAGCCCGGCAATAAAATTTGTCTTTTATCCGATTGAGAAGAAACGTTACAATTTTCGAGTGAGTTTTATCGTGTGTATGCCAATGAGAGAAGTCTACTTCACACCACACCTTAGTTATGTTCACTTATTACATCATTATCATAATTAACCTATAACCTTCCCTTCCCCTCACTGCGAGCAGGGTCCTCCATCATCTCCGCCGATCCACAAGGGGCCCCCGAGACGTCAATGGTTGAAAACCACTGGCCTAGACGATGCAGTTTTCACGCTGCTTGATAGGCTACATCGGACTGTATCGTCAACTGCGGTCAGACTTAAAGTGAAAGGAAGTATATGCGCTGAGAAACTGATGGAGGGGATGAGCCGCGAGAGAACAGAGACGAGAGAACGCCGAGCTCCTCTTTGGTAACACTAATATTACCAAACAAAGCTCGGCGTTCTGACGCCCCCTCACTCTTTTTTGTCTCCTCCTCCTCTGCCTCACTTTCTCGGCGCATAGATAACAATGTCATGGAGGATTCACAGTGCTTCCTCTCTCGGTACGGTTATCATAGCGCACGCACAAAAGAAAGACAAACTTAGCGACATTCCGCTCCTGACGCAGTTCAACTGGTGCTACCTCGGCTCGTAACGACGGTTTCACTCCGACTTACGGTGAATCAGTATAAATCCTCGGCGAGTAACAAAGCCTACAATGTGTTCAAATAAAAAGATATTGTATTTTTACTTGATTCGGAGCATAACCTAGACATGTGAAATGCCGACCAAAGCGCCAGATGTAGTCCCTGAGAACTCATGATATGCATAGCGTGACGACTAGCGATAATCATATCAAAGATCATTTAGTATATATCATATATCATATAATATTGCCACTTCCAGCCACTAGGATTGCATCATTAGGCGCAAGGAACACCGACGTACAAATCACAAAGCAAGAAGCATGGTCATAATAAGTAAAGGTGACCTAATAGACCCCATTCGAAATTCATGTGCCGATTATTAGAGTCCACTAAGCATGGGCTTGAGCAAAAACAAGCCTCTTTTCCTGGTAGGTTGGAGAGAGCAGCGGCTATTACGTAGCACGTCTTTTCTTCACGCCTTTGACGCCTTTTCAAGCCTTTGACGAGCCAATTCATCGCTGACGTTCAGGCCAACGGCATTCTTGATTTCACCCGCCGTCAAAAAAGGGTTTTCGCAGGCTGCAGCTACCAGGGCCCTGTCTTTTTCTTCGGTTGTCTTGCGTTTGCAATTTCTTTGGTTTTCTTGCGATTGCACTGTCGAGGTGCATCGCTAATACGCCCCTCCTCTTGGAATCCGCTCACAATCCTATTGACGGTACCCAGCGTAACCCCAACTGTTTTATCTCTATTGCTTTGCGTCATGCCGCCCATCGACATTCTCACAACACGTTCCCGTCTTTCTATGGGCACTCGAGGCGGCGTAAAATTGTGCGCGCGCCCGCTGGTCAAAGAAAAGCGTGACTACTCGGGTACATAGGCTAGACGACGACAGCA